GAAGGCCATGTGCAAACCGCTCGGCACGTATTCTTTCGGCGCGCCGTTCCTCGCGTTCCTCCAACCGCCGCCGTTCCTCGACCGTCAGCTTGAAGTAGGGCTTCCAGCGGCGTCTGCGCGCCCGTCGACGGCGCTTTCGTCGCTTTTTACCCGCACCGCCGCCGTCGTTGCCTGCTGCCTCCTGGTCGTTCCTCGTGACTCCGCAACCGCAACCGCCATCGCCTCCGTCTCCGCCGCCGCCGCCGCTAACATCGTCTTGTCCCTCGCCGATGTCCCCCTTCCTTTTCAACCTCAACTCGCCTTCGCCGTCGTCGTTGTTCATCGTTATTTCTTCGCCACTATCCCGGCTATCACCACCAGACGGCGCTGCGGTCGATACCGCTGCAGCAGCGACATCTATAATCGATTGCTGCGGCGGACAACGGCCATCGGCCCTGACGGCCGCCACCGCCGTCACACTGACCCTGACGCTGTCAACCGCAGTTCCAGCGGGGCCCGTACATTCCGACTGTCTACCAGTATCCATACAACCAAAAAATCAAAGGGTAAACAACCGATCTCAGATCCCGTTTTACATTAGATTGCTTTATCGCAGCACCACTGCCAACTGCTCCACTCGCTCCAACGCGATGCTTAAATGCAGTACAACTTTCCTGCGCTTATTCACTCCGCCAAAGAAAATAACACACTTTTCCCGGACGTTTCACGTTTGACATTTTTAATCAGCTTATATTTATCTTTTAAACATACGCTTAAAACCTTGTTCTCAACGTCAGGAATACGAAAGTATTTCGTTCAAAATCTTTTCTTTCGTATACATTCATTTAAATAATGATTGTCAGGTACATAGAACAGATGACTGACAACTGTAACTCAAGATAATCGATCGATTTAAAATTATGCTGAACAACATCTGATTTTTAACTTCTGCCCAACGACTTTGCAATTAAATGGTCAATGGAATTATGAAATAATCAACGGACAAATTTATCATGTTACCTAGTCGCGAATCATCTCATGATCCGTCCCAATGCTAATGCACGACGGATTTTTCGCTGTGGCACTATGAACAAATTGAGCGACTGGGTATAAATGAGCAGATAAGTTGCGGTTTAGTCATGCGATAAAAGGTAAAGCAGCATTTCTCAGCATTCTCTGCTTTTCGAACCTTAGCAGCCACTGAGCATTGCAAGTTGAGGAAAAGTTTAAAATCGACGGCTTGAACTCGAACTTGAATTATATATATATATATAATATATAATA